CTAGGCAATCATTCAATTATTGATAACTATAATCTTGTTATAATTATTTTATTTCTGATAGCCCCTTCTCTGCCAAATCCAATAGCTACTTAGTCTCATGTTTAAATTATTAATTCTTATCTCTATTATCATTCTTCTATTATTCAATCATGACTTGTTTTTAGAGTTTCAATTTCTTATTTTTTAATTTAGGGAGCTTATCATCTGAAGTTCGAGGAATTCCATAGCTTCTTGGTAAGATTACTCATGGATAATTATGGGAAGTGGGGTTAGATTAATTATTCTTGCAATTAAAATTTATTATATGAAATCCCTTAAAACAGATCTAAACCTATAAGTAAGGAGTAAAGTGAAAAGTGTTCCTTTGTCTCTAAACCTAATATCTTGGTCAATAATTACTCTTCATGAAAAATTAATTTTAATTAGCTATATATATAAAATTTTGGAGTCAAGTTCAAAAAAGATGAAATTTACAAAACTAAATCTTTAAATCTGTAACATTTTTGTTTTATCTAATTTAAACTTAATATAAATCATTAATAGTTATGTATCTGCAAAATATGTCCTTTAAATTTTTATTGTCCATAATTCAAAAATTCATCCTACTCTGATATTTTTGAAGAAAAATAACAACTTATAGATTTAGGAAACTTTGTAAATTCTGATGCGATATATTATACTTAATAATTTTTGTGAATCTACTTTTGCTTGTTAACTAAATGATAAAATAATCAATTTTAAACCTAAGTTGAATTTGGTTTAAATAAAAGAAAGAAATGAATTGTTTGAATTTAATCTCAGCTACAGACTAAAATAGATCCATATTCATTAATTGAATATTTTCCAAAATTTATAAAATAATTTTACAGATTCTAAAATCTTTTTATCTATAATACAATTTATTGAAATAAATTCTATTGTTAGAGACGAATTTCTTGAAAGAACTAAATTATCTTTGGCTAAAAATTTGAATATTTGATTTCTGGATTTCAAATAGTTACGACAACTAGGAATAATTCCTCTCTATTTATTAACAAATAAATCTATTACAGTAATTAAATAAAGGATATTTATTCCACTAATTTATTTTCCTTTTTTATATTACAATGATTAATTAGTGGAAACTTGTTTATTTGTTAGGAAAAAACTTTTAAATATTGAGAGAAGATTATTCTTCATAATCAACAAAATATTAAATTATTTAAATCTAATATTTTAATATATCATAAATCTACAAATACTTTATTAATATAAAAAAGTACATTTTTAAGAATACGATTTTCTATCATGTGAACACTAAAGATTAATATCATTAGTAAAACTAGCATTGAAGCAAAACAGAACTAAGGGCTATTCATAAAAGAGCCAAATGTCTAACTGAATTTGGAAGAATTGAAAAAAAAGTATAAGATAAAACTTGTAATAAAAAATTTAAGGAAGTAGATTAATTGTAGCTATATAAATATTTACTTTATAAAAATTAATAGAAATTATTTAGTGTAAGTGAAAATTAGTATCATTGACTATAAACAATTCGAAAATATAAGCAGTTGTTAAATAACTATATAAAATTTTGAGAAACATATTAATTCATAATAAATTAATTTCAATTTCCTTATAGATATTAGGCTTAACATGTTACCAAAGAAATATAGAAAAATACATAAATATATTAATTGTTATTTTTAGATTAATGAAAGTGCAGATTTCTCATAAATACTCTATTTTAAATCATCTTTCTCATTTAAATACTAATAATAATTTAATTAATAAATTTTAATAGATATAGGAAAATGTTAATAAACGAAATGTTAAATAGAGAATTAGAATGTAATATTTATTTATTTATATATCCTTTAGTCATGTTTTGATAATATAGTTAATTAGATTGATTAATTATTGAAATAGATATCCAATTTGTAAATTTAGTAATCCTAAATTTGAATTATCTTAACCTAATTTTCATTAATTTAATTTTATTGGTTAATCTGAGTTTTAATCAAACATTATTTAAGAATTGAAACCATTAATAAATTCAAAAATTAAAGGGCAAGTTCAATTCAGATTATAATAAAATACATTAATATATTAATCATCATAATCAATAGAAAAACAATCAATTATTCAATCTACATCTTCTTAATTAAATTTAAAACCATTTAATTATTAAATAATTTAAAGTAATTCAATTAAAATATAATAATTTTGTCGTGTAATTGAAATAAATAAAGATTATTCAATTGTAGCTATTGGTTGTGATAAATAAATAAAAATATATGAATTCAAATAAAGAAGCCTGAATTTATTTCAAGTATTGAATTAACATAATAATGATATATTCGCTTTAAATTTCATGTAAAAATCAGATTAATTGATATCTGGAGATAGAGATGGATCTATTGTAATTTGGTCAAGCAATAACAATAATTAATGGAATTACTCATAAACAATTAAAGGACGTAGTTATTGGATTTATTGTTTAATATTGAATAAGGATGTAGATCTTTTTATATCAAGTAGTGGGGATAATACTATTAAGTTTTGGAATAAACAAAATGAATGGATATGTTAAAAATCAATCACACTGATCATACATCTTAAGTTTATTAAATAAGTTTAAATGATTAAGAAGATAAAGTTATTTCTTGTGGATAGGATTCAACAATATTAGTAATTGAATATTCTGAACACAGCAAAAGGTGGATGGTAATATCAAATATCAAAGTTGATTTTTATGGATTTAGATTATCCTTTATAAAAAATAATGTATTCACATTTAAACCTAATTATGGCAATTTGATGTATATTTATGAGATGAATAGTGTAAGTAAATAGTTCACTAAAAAAAGGAATATTATTGTTAATTAAGGTAGTGAAAGTTGTTCATTATTTTAATTATAATTTATATAATAAAATTAGATTTAAGTAAGCAAAACTGATACATATGTCAATTTTTTAAGAAAGATAGAAAAAGATGAATTTAAATATGAAGTAATCTATTCAATTTTATACAAATAAATATTTTGTTAATTGAGTAATTATGGAGAGTATTTTATTACTTGGGATAGTTTCTAAAGATATATAAATTTGGGGATATAAATAATAATGATAATTATTAATAAAAATAGATATATATATAAACAATATTTTATTTATAATATATGTGTTTATTATAGTGTTGAGCATAAAAATAAGGATGTGTCTAATTATTTTTGAATTTATATAGCATTAATCTTTCCATTCATATATTTCTTTAACAACAATATCTTCCAATAAATCTTAAAAATCAACTTTTTTCTTAATCGTTCTGTATTTGAAAGAATTTAGGAGGTTGAAACTGTTGGAATCATAAAGTGGTAATTATTGTGTTTCATAAAGTGTTCTATTTGTTATTTTGATATTATCAATTTAATTTGCATGTTATTGGTAATATATGTAATTAATTTGGATTATAAACTAATAGTTTAATTAAGAATTTAATTTTTGAAATATAATAATTGAATCATCTATTCTTAAAAAGTTAATTGATTTATTCTGTTACCTAAGACAACAATTATTAAAAAGAAATTAAATAATTATTTTTAACATTTATTAAAGGAAATAGTAAATTTCTAGAGAATATTCTTTTTTAATTTTATAATTGGCATGATTTAATTAGTAGATGAGCTTTAATTGATTATTGAGTTTTTTAAATCATGTTAATTTGAATTACTAAAGAGTATAAATTAATATTATAATTTATAAGATACCAAACTCTATGTATACTATTATAGAATATACTTTTAGCACTGAATCTAATCAGGAGATTAATAATTGATTTGATTTAAAGTAATTAACATTTAATTATTAATTTTAGAATTAATATATCTTGATATTTTAATTAATCGAATTTTTTACTTATTCATAAATTGTATTCTGATAAAATGCAAATAGCTCAGAAAAAAATAGATTTAATCTCAAAGATTAAATTATGATTATATTTGAAGTTTTGCTAAAATTTTAAATTAAACTTTCTGTTTTACACAAAATTTAGTATAATAAAAACAAATTGATAATTAAAATAGTACTTATTCAAGCCACTTCCTATTTTAAACTAATTATCATTTTATGATTTCATAAGTGTTATGAACTCTTAATTTATTTAGAATTTTTTATAGTTACTCTAAAAATAATTTACAATAAAACTAATACTTTAATTAATATTGTCCAAAAAAAAGTATAGTATTAACATTATTTTTGTTATGGTTTAGCATTATTTTAAAAGTCTAAATTAACATTAAACTATCCAATTAAATTTTCCTTTAAATTTGTTTCTTTTTTTAAATTTAATATATTCGTTAAATAAGCACTCAACACTATAACTTGTGAAGTAAAATTAAAAGTATAGCATCCATTATACGTAATAATATTATTATTATTCTTGACAACTAAAAGATCACTACCAAAAATGGCAGTACATTAATTAATTATAAACAACCTCAAAGCCTTTTTAAGAATAACAAAAATCTCATTCTTTCCAAAAATTATCACAACTAAAGTTACAGAAATGACATCTATCATTAAGAATTTTATTACTATCATCAAAATCCTCCAATCTTCAATTAAAAATTTCCACATATTCACATAATAGATGGCATACTAAATTAATACCATCATCATAATTATCTAATTAACAATAACATTGATTATTTTATTATGATTTATGAAAATCAGAAACTCGTGTTAAACAATTTGTTCTCAAAAAATCTATACAAGTTTCAAAAACCTTATTACAAACAATTGTTTGACTTGATAGGAAATTAAATGATAAATGATTCTCATTAATTAAATTGTTATTTAATCTTGAAGAATTGTCATCCTGGTTAATTAAATTATCCATAATTGTAAGATTTTTTATTAGAATAAAATTATCAAAACTAATTCTATAAGCAATTAGATTTTGTGTGTCCAGATTCCCAATCACAGTCTATAATAATTTAAAAATNGGAAATAGTAAATTTCTAGAGAATATTCTTTTTTAATTTTATAATTGGCATGATTTAATTAGTAGATGAGCTTTAATTGATTATTGAGTTTTTTAAATCATGTTAATTTGAATTATAATTCAATTAATTATATTTAATTTTACTAAAGAGTATAAATTAATATTATAATTTATAAGATACCAAACTCTATGTATACTATTATAGAATATACTTTTAGCACTGAATCTAATCAGGAGATTAATAATTGATTTGATTTAAAGTAATTAACATTTAATTATTAATTTTAGAATTAATATATCTTGATATTTTAATTAATCGAATTTTTTACTTATTCATAAATTGTATTCTGATAAAATGCAAATAGCTCAGAAAAAAATAGATTTAATCTCAAAGATTAAATTATGATTATATTTGAAGTTTTGCTAAAATTTTAAATTAAACTTTCTGTTTTACACAAAATTTAGTATAATAAAAACAAATTGATAATTAAAATAGTACTTATTCAAGCCACTTCCTATTTTAAACTAATTATCATTTTATGATTTCATAAGTGTTATGAACTCTTAATTTATTTAGAATTTTTTATAGTTACTCTAAAAATAATTTACAATAAAACTAATACTTTAATTAATATTGTCCAAAAAAAAGTATAGTATTAACATTATTTTTGTTATGGTTTAGCATTATTTTAAAAGTCTAAATTAACATTAAACTATCCAATTAAATTTTCCTTTAAATTTGTTTCTTTTTTTAAATTTAATATATTCGTTAAATAAGCACTCAACACTATAACTTGTGAAGTAAAATTAAAAGTATAGCATCCATTATACGTAATAATATTATTATTATTCTTGACAACTAAAAGATCACTACCAAAAATGGCAGTACATTAATTAATTATAAACAACCTCAAAGCCTTTTTAAGAATAACAAAAATCTCATTCTTTCCAAAAATTATCACAACTAAAGTTACAGAAATGACATCTATCATTAAGAATTTTATTACTATCATCAAAATCCTCCAATCTTCAATTAAAAATTTCCACATATTCACATAATAGATGGCATACTAAATTAATACCATCATCATAATTATCTAATTAACAATAACATTGATTATTTTATTATGATTTATGAAAATCAGAAACTCGTGTTAAACAATTTGTTCTCAAAAAATCTATACAAGTTTCAAAAACCTTATTACAAACAATTGTTTGACTTGATAGGAAATTAAATGATAAATGATTCTCATTAATTAAATTGTTATTTAATCTTGAAGAATTGTCATCCTGGTTAATTAAATTATCCATAATTGTAAGATTTTTTATTAGAATAAAATTATCAAAACTAATTCTATAAGCAATTAGATTTTGTGTGTCCAGATTCCCAATCACAGTCTATAATAATTTAAAAATTAATATTACCGAATAAATTTACGATGTAAGATTTTTTAATTGATTGTAACACATCTGAGCACATCATAAAAATCTTGACAAAATTGGAGACACTTAAAATACAACCAAATAGTTACATAGATAGCGTCCAACAATAAAGTAATCAGAAATTACGCAAAGTTAATCTTTTGAATCGGCAATAGTGTCTGTTTCTACTTCGTCATAAGATTAATTTATATCTAAAGTTAATTATTTATTTGGAACAAATGTTATCTAATCTTAATTAAAATAATCTCTTTCACATTCGAATCTGCATCCAGTTTTTATTTGAGCAGAACTAATTTTAATTTTCAAAAAGGCACAATCCATCTGTTCAGAGACTACCATAATAATAACTTAAACAACTTTGATAACTAGAACAAGTTTAAAAAGTTTGTAAACAAGACTTTGAGCATAAAAAGAAATTCCTTATCAAAATTAATTGGATATAACCTTAAATTTAAAGGCCAAAATATGATTTTCTTCTTGCATTTTGAGTTAAATCAGAGTTAATGAGACTTCTATTTTCAATATTTGATTTTTAGAGATTAAAGTAAAGTTAAATGTCAAATTTTGCTATTCCATTTTTGTAATTTTTGGCATCATTAAGAAAAATTGTTAACAATTGATTCAGATCAATAACATTTATTCATAAATTTCTTATCAATTTATTAAATTAGAATTGTAAACTTTTTTAAGAACTTGAAACTACAAGCACTCAATCTAATTTGCTTGAGAAAATTAAAATCTCTGACATAACCAAAATATATTTTAATACATTTATAATATTTGATGAATTCTATATTTAAATTAGTTTCTTTCAATGTAACTCAAAAAATAAAATAGATTTATAATTAAATTCTACATTCATTCATTAAATTACAAAAAAATGTTAAACTATAATTATCAAATACATGTAAAGAATCTTCAATTTGTAACATTTTATTAAATTTAGCACATAAAAAGGAAGTATCTGGAAAAATACCTTAACCTTAAATTTTTGATTTACAAAGCAATTCGTTATTAGCTAAATTTTATAAAAGTATCATATGTTTTCTATTTAATATATATTTTTATTCTTCATAAATAAATCTAAAGAATTAAGATTAGAATATACAGTAATTTGAAAAATATGTTGTATATTTTTGAAGGAAAACATAATAATTATCACAAGCAAATTCAACCAATATTATCTTGATTATTATTTAAATAATCTTTTAAAGAAATTAACTAGAAATTAGCAATAAAATAAATATTAAAGTTATTTTTTTTCATATTTCCAATAATATAAAAACATTTGGTAAAATGGATTTTCAATAAGAAACATCATTACGTTCCAACACTTTTTCTTATGAATTACTCTAAAATATTCGGTACTATTAAGACCAAAATTGCTTTGCTTTAGCAATGAATAAAACTAATAATATTTTAGTGGCTGGGTAATAAAATAACATAAAAGTATTATAATTCAAAAATGGATTGAAATTATTAAACATAATTTAAAAGCATTAAAAGTAGGTAGTTACACTAAATACCTTTCAAAATAGATCTCACTTTATTTCTGGTTCAAATGATTCTTCAATCATAATATGGTCCTTTAATATGATTGCTAACCCTAAATATTTGACTAAATTAAGGGGTCACTAGGATTGGATAACATGTTTGGTAATACATCCGAAAAATGAAAATTTGATAATTAGCGGATCATATGATAAGAAAATAAAATTTTGGTAGCAATCTTCTTATTTCTTAACGTAATCTAGCAATACCTCCTTTAAACATTCTTGGATTTGCTCGTAAACTATTACAGAACATAAAAAATAGATTGAAGGTTTATCAATAAATAAAGAGGGCAATAAACTAATAACATGTGGAGCTGACTATTTAATATTAATATTAGAGGAGCTTGAAAATTAATGGTAGATTAAGTAAAGCATAAAAGTCAAAGAATTTGGATATCGAATATCCTTTATAAATAATGAATTATTTGCCTTTTAACCTAGAAATAACTATCTGTGTTTGTTTACTTTAAATTTAAATACAGGATTATTCTAGAAATATAAAGACATATAAGTTTAGGGAGGCGAGAAAAATTGTGATGGTCTATTTCCATTAATTTATCTACAAGAAAAGTAAATTTTGATTTCAAAAAATGGATTAAATGTAAATATAATTAAATTCACATTTAATAATTCAAGCGATTTTAATTGTAACTTAGAACAGGTCATTGATTTTAAATTTTTTAAATCCTGGGATGGATTAATATATGGTACTGCAAGTCTTAATGGTGAATATTTGATAACATGGGATTAATAATCAAAAGAAATCTAAATTAGATAATTAAAAATTTTTAAGTGAAAGATTGCAAACTATTAATAATTTATAATATTCTCTATTCTAATTATATAAAATAGTGTTTAATTTTATAT